CCCAGAGAAGCCTCTGCGATTCCTCCTGTCAAGCACACTTTTACCTCAGTGCCACGGATTCATTCGTCCAGGCCACAGATCTCTACCGCGCACCTCCTGAGGACCTGGCCATCCCCGGCAGGAGAAACGACTCAGACCTGGGCGCTGTCCCTTAGGAGCTCTGTGGTCTAGTGGGGGAGGCAGATATGCAGACATGTGGCCATCCAAGGCGAGAGGCGCTGGGGAAGCACGGACAGTGCTGAGGGAGAACCGGGCTGAGGACAGGCTCAGGCACGGGCCCCAGGGAGGTGGGCCAAGGAGGGGGACAGCATTCTTAGCAGAGGGACGAGAGAGGGCAAAGACAGCAGTGGAGCGGGGTGAGGTCTGTCTCAGAACCTAAGAGCTTTATACGAGCCCGTTACAACACTTATCCCACCGGAGGCCGGGTTCAGAGCCACCTTTGTGGCCACTGCCTCAGCTCCATGAGGGCAGAGACCTGCCGCATCCAGCTCTGCTTGGTGAAGATGGGCTGTGCGCTGCACAAATGGGTGAACGAGCAAGTCACAGGTATGTGGCCAGGACACAGGCCACCCAGCCCATCTGAGGTTTCCTGACGAGCAGTTTCACGGCACAGTCCCACTGCAGAAGTGCAGAGGGCCTCAAAGGCAGACCCCTTTCGAGAAGCAAAGACCACATGTCGCACACGCTCTGATCCTTCTTCCCAGGATTCCTGGGACGCGCAGCCCGCTTCTGCTGAGATACCAGTGAGGAGCTGCAGGGTTCGTCAAACATCATATGCCACGAGGAAATGTCAACAGTAAATGATTAATCGGCATCAGGAACAGAAGTATGGACGTTACCACGATGTACACAGCAATGCTCCCAGTGACCCCTCCAGGGCTCACCCCAGAAGGGCCAGGGCCCTGGACCATATGTCAAGGGGGACGCAGGATGGGCCCAGGCAAGCTGAGCCCGCCCATCTGGCCACCCTGCAAGGCGGCCCTGGTGCAGGAGGAGGAGGAGGCAGATTCTGGAGCCAGAATGCCTGGGTCTGAACCCAGCTCTGCTACTGACCAGCTGTGTGACCCTCGGCAAGTGACTTAAATTCTTTGAGCCGTGTTTCCTCCTCTGTGAGATGGGGTCAATAACACCCCCACCTGCTGGGACTGCTGTGAGGATAAAAGGACTTAATATGGAGACCTCAGTGCCTCACACGTGGTATGCACTAACAGGACGCAGACGTCACTGGTGCTCTTGATGCCATCGGCATCAGCCGGGTCCCACTCTCCACCCAGCAGGGATTCTGTGGGCCTCCCAGGCCTTAGGCAATAAAACCTGAGGATTGAGAAGATGCTGATTCCCTCCCTGACCTGAAGCTATGCCTGCCAGATGACAGCAGCCACAAACAACAGGAACACCTGTACCTGGAGCCTGAGGCTGGAAGCAGGACCGTGACAACCACCTCTAACACACTTAACTACTTTGGGGATAGTCCAAAGCCCTCTAGCAAATAAAGGAGAAGACACTAAGCAAGTCTACTGTACCGAGTCTTCTCTCTACAAACTGCAGGGTGTTCAGAGCAGTGGGGTGACCCCTGCGGTGAGCACCCCTGTGAGAACCCCTGGGCCCTGGCACAGCGCCCCGCCCCCGCCCACCACAGCCCTCTCTGGGTCACACCCTAGGCCTTGCTTGGCATTACCATTTCTGCAACTCCTCATAACCTCATCTCCAGCATCCTACCCTCCAACTTCCACTCCTGCTTCTCAGCTCACTCCCTTGACGGCCCAGAATCCCAGTCTCCCAGCCCCCTGGGACAGAGAGCCTGGCACACAGGGGCCCTCAGTAAATACTGTTAAAGCTGAAGCAATACGTCATTCATCTCACAAACCTGATATATGTGCCAGGCACCCTACTGGGTGCGGGGGAATCACAGGGGGTGAACGAGGCAGACCCAGCCCCCACCCTCAGGGGTTATGGTCTACCAGGATGGCGTTCTACTGGGCACAGGGATGCGGTGCTTTGGGGACACACAGCAGAAGCATCTGCTCCTGCCTGAAGGCCAGGAAGGCAGACAGAAGTGAGGCCAGCAAAGAAGGGGAAAGTGTTCTAGGCTGAGGTAAGAGTCAGGGCAAAGGCCAGGAGCACAGGGTGGCAAGAGCCAAGACCAGAGGGAGAGGCGAGGCCCCATGAGGAGCCCTTTTAGGCCACGATAAGCACCTGATTTGTTAAGGAAATAGGAAGCCCTTGAGGAGTTAAACAGGAGAGAGCAATCAGATTCGCCCTCCGGAAAGATCATTCTGATAGCACCTTGGACCAGGAGGGGAAGAGAGCAAGACGGCAGGCGGGGCCACGGGCTGGGAGGCAGGTGCAGTAGGAGTCCACGGGCTGCCCACCATGGCCTGGGGAGAGCTGGCGGCAAAATGGAGAGTAAGAGGATCCCTGATTTTGGGTTGACACATGGCCGGAATACAAGCTACGCCTCCCAGCCTCCTGTGCAGTTAGTTGTGGCCATGTGACTAAGTCCTGGCCAATGGGATTTAGGTGGAAGGCACGTGTGCAACTTCTGAGAAGTGTCCCTAAAAAGAAGGAAAGAGTCCTTCTTACCCCGCCCTTCCACCATCCTGCTGGCTAAAGTGTTGGATGTGATGGCTGGATCTGGTGTGGCCACCTGGGACCACATGGAGACCTAGAGAATGGAGGTCACACATGGTGGAGCAACAAGACGGAAGGAGCCTGGGCCCCTAAGGACTTCGAGGAGCAGAGGAGCCACACCAGCCCTACCTGCCGTGGCTGCCACTTAGGAGAGAGTTAAAATTCTATCCTGTTCAACAACTATTACGTTGGGCTTTCTATCACTCACGCTGAACCTAAGCATAGTTAATAGAGAAGAAGAAGCAGACCCAAGATACACTTGTGACCTGGATCTGGGGGTGAGGGAGTCCGAGGACTCAAGATCACTCCCAGGTTTCTGGATTGTGCAACCACGTACATGGATGGTGATGCCATTTGCTGAAACGCAAATGCTGAAGGGGTGAGGGAGGGCGGACAGCAGGTTGGAAAGAAAAAGAAAAAGCCTCCAGAGGCAAGTGAGGGACGTCAGGAACTCTGAGAGGAGACCTGTGTTTAACTCGAAGCCCCACCCAGTAATGCTCTTTATTTGGTCTAAATACACGAAAACACACAGCGGCACAGAAAGAGAAATGGATTAGGAACCAGAAGACACAGATTCCGTTTCTTCACGGCTTCCTGTGCTAGCCGGGATGGATCACTTCTCACCCTCGAGCCTCGGTTTTCTCATCCATCCCCATAAGATGCGACACTGCCCTCCGTACCTCAACGGGCCGTTGGAGGGTGTGCTAACGGACCACATGCGAAAGCCTGTAAACTACAAAGTGCCAGCCAATCAAGGGTGCAATAGTGCAGGTGTAGCTAATAAACTGCTGGCAGAGGGTTTAACCCCCTGGGATGGAAGTCTGCCTGCAGTAGGGCTCAAGCTCACTGAGACGAATCGGAAATCCTGTCAAAGGATAACTGCAAGTGACTCAGAGATGATGTGAACGTGGATGGTGGTGAAGCCCCCAGGGCAGGGCACCTCAAACCTAAGGACAAATGGCCATCCCCAGAGTGGACCCACAGCCTGGCCAGCTGCGCAGTCCAAACAGCAGCCCTCAGCTGCAGGCCTGTGCAGGGCTTCTGGCGCTGCAGGTGGAAGCCCACCCCATCCTGACCAAGGCCAGGCGGAGGGCCAGCCGCTCAGGTCTGTCTGTGCCCAGAGTCTGGACTAGTCCTGCTGTGTCAAAACTGTACCTCGCCTGGCCATGGAGTTGTGTTCTTTGCCCAACTGCCCACTGTAGGCACCTCTGCCTCAGTTTCCTTTTGGAGCCAGGCCCTAAATTCTCCCAACTGGCTGGGGCCCTGATCCCCTGCCTTGCTCTTCTCCTGGTGGCTGGACACTGACTGCCAGCTCACCACTTTCTGAGACTCCTGCTGCCACGCCTCCTCCATCAGAATGAACCCTGGAGGTTCCCTCCAGCCCCGCCTCTCCCCAGAGCCCTGGACGCACCCGGGATGCAGCCAGAGCCAGCTGCCTGCAGGTTCCCCTCCATGCCTCTCAGGTCTGCAATGACCTTATCCACTTTGTCCTGCCAGACACACTCCTACTCTTTCTCCAGGCACGGAGCAGCCCATCAGGAAGCCATCACCTCCTGGTGTCCCCACTGTTCCTCACATGGTATTATAACGCCTGGTTGGCAGGTGGCCTCTCCCCAAGGACTGCACATTCCTTGAAGGCACAGAGCATGTTCTGTCATCTCACAGCCCAGCTGGGGCTAGCCCAGGGCTGGGGCTCCGGACACACTGGAGGTGCTGGAGGCCTGCTGAATGGATGGAGGACAGGAAAAGCCAGCTGGACAGACGAGTGGAGGATGGGCTCTCAGTACTAACCCAAGTCAACACAGTCCGCCAAGCTCCTCTGGACCCTGCCTTTGGGGTCCTTGGCCACTCCCCTCCCCTTTTCTTAGCCAGCCCTGCAGCTGGCTCAGTACCCTCAGTGCTGTCCTGGCTTCCTACTCTTTCCTCTAGCCCATGGGAGATCCAGCATGCCCTGGGGAGTGACAGCTGTCCACCCCTTACAGGCTTTCCTGACCAAACCTTGGCCAACCCCTACCAAGACCATCTTGCCTTTAAAGATCAGGGCTACTGGTGACCCCTGGGCCTTACCTGACCTGACCCTTCTCAGCACGCGCGTCCTTCCTCCCCACTCCACCTGCGTGAGCCAAGCCTTGAGGCAGGACAGCCCAGTCTTCCATCCCCACACCCTGCCTGCTGCAGGGCCCCGATGGGCATAAGGTGCGGGGTCTAGGAAGCTCCTCCCTCCATTCTGGAAGCAGTCCCCCTCCGCCACCCCTCTCCAGACCCCTCACATGTAGACCCAAAGAAGCTGCTTCTCCAAGGCACCTCCAGTCTGATTTCTGGGAGGAGTCGAAGGAAAGAAGTGTGTGTCACAGCTGACCATTACCCACCGGAATCCACTCTTCGAGTTCCTGGGGTTGACCAGGACGCAGTCCCAGGTGCGGTGCAAAGTATTCTGGAACAGAATCAGCTGCCCTTCCTCCCGGACCCGGCTGCTCGAGGAGTAGTCGGCCACAGCCACCTCCTTCACCCGGAATGGGTTTGAGAACAAGTTGCTGACGCTATTGAGGGTATTGACCAGGCGGCCGAAAAACTGCATCTTCCGCGGGGCAGGTGCGGAGGCCCCACCGCCTTCCCCCTCAGTCTGGAAGAAAACGGGGTCTCTGGTCAGCTGTGCCCGGTCTCCCATGCCCACCTCACCAGGTGCAGCGGGTTCCTGCACAGACACCCAGATGGCACCCCACCGGCGCTGTTCCCGATTCTGGGCCTGGAGGGACCTGCAAAGGAGGAGAAAGAAAGAGAAACAGCACTGAGCGGGGGGCAAGAAGGTCTGGTGGGAAGTCACAGAGCTGCCACTGTGCAAAGGTGACCAGAAGTGTCCTGCTCCCTGACCCAGTTTCCCCCAGAAACTCAGTTTCCTCATCTTGAGTGCGGAGCCGCACTGATCAAAGGAGAGACAGCTGTGAACGCCCATGACTGGCGATCCCGCCTCGGGCTGATGGGGTCGGGGGGGGGGGGGCCCCCGCTGCTCACCACAAATACAGAGTCGACTTTCTGGAACTCAGAGAGCTTGGCGCGGGTCATTTCAATTCCACCAACAAAACCAGAGTCCCCTATCTACCAGATGGCAAGGGGACCAGGATCGTCTTGCTCTCCATCAAGGGGACAGGGGGTCTGTGAGCATCTGTCTAAAACCTTTGGTGCCTGCCACCACTGGTTTCCCAGGGAGCTCTGAGAGAGCACAGCTCCTCGGAAAGGAGAGTGAATGCAGAGACTTAGAAACAGTGAACACGTGTTTGGGAGGAAATTCTCTGTTTCATATTCACAGGGTCACGGTTTCTGCTGTGGAAATTGTCCCCAGTTTGGATGACAGAAGTAGATGTCTCATTATTTCCTGGGTCCCAGAAAGCACACTGCCTTCCTAAGGCAGTGCCACCAAAGCCTGGTGACAATCAGCTGGAGGCCGCCCTTGCTTCTGTGCTAGGATTTCACTGCCAAGAGAGGGGGTCAGACACTGAGGACAGAGTGTACAGGCACCCAGGGGATAATGGACATCTGAGTGGACATTAGTTCACACCCTGGCCTACATGTTGAGGAGGGGATCAACTTTAGGGATAAATGGAAGAGCAAGAGGCCTACAAAGAATCATCTAGAGAGGGAGTAGGGTCAACAATGAGAATTACACCAAGAGACGATTACTGAGCACTAACGAGGCAGCAGGCCCCGAGCTAAGTGCTTCACGTGACCATCTCATTTAATCCTCACAAAACCGCATGAGGCAGAGGCACTGAGCACACAGCTCTGCAGCAAGACTGCATTCAAGTCCTGGGCTCACCAGTTACCGGCTGTGTGACCTTGGGCAAGTTACTTACCCTCTCTGTGTCTCAGTTACCTCATCTGTAACATGGGGACCGTAACAGTGCCCAACAATAGAAGCCGGCAGATAGTGAATGCTCAATAAACATTATTAGCCTCTTTACTTCAATCACTCCCCTTTTCCAGATAAGGAATCTGCGGCTCAGAGAACCATGACTGCAGAGCTTTGAAAATGCCCCAAAGCTTTGCAATGTCCTTCCTTTTAGGATTGGTAATAAGATGTGGTGGGAGCAGACCACGAGCCTCAGTTTCTCCCTTAAAATGAGGACAGTGCTCACCTCCCTTGCATTGTGAGGATTAAATGCGGATGATCTGAGGATGCTTGGACCTGCGTCAACTTCCTTCTTCCTTCTGCACTCGGGAACTTAAGGATGGAGGAGCTGGGGGCCTGCACCCCTTCCCCTAGCCAGGTGAGAGGGGGGGAACCCAAGGGAAGGTGTGGCAATTGGTCCCAGGAGAACCTCCCAAAATGGAAGACACGGTGTGCGCATCAACGTGCGTTATAACAACTTTCATTTTGGCACAGACACAGAAGCAGCTTCAATTTATCCAGCGTCAGAGGAATTGTAAATTTTCATACATTTACCCCAGAAACATCATGTGGTCATTAAAAGCTGTGACCGTGACAGTTCTAACAACTCAGGAAAAGCGTGTGGGAACCTGGTCCAGGCCTGCGGCAGGTGGAAGAGAAAGGACTGGAGCCCGGATGGGCTGACTCTGCAGTCGGAGCGTGGAGCGTCTTAAGGGCAGCTGCTGCCTCTTGTACACCTACCCGGAGCACAAAGCTTGGCCCAAGGAAAGCTTGTTAAGACACAATTTATGCAATTTAACTGAGTAAAAATTATGCGCAGCAAAAGAAAAAAGACTGATAGAAAATATAGCAAAATACTAAGGGTAAATGAGGGTATTGGGAGAGATGAGGGTATTGGGTTTATGTGGAATTTTTTTTCTTTTCCCCATGTTCCAAGGGGTATGGAAAATGATTATATGTTTTAAAGAAAGCAGGAGTGTAGGCTGAGCCCCTGGGGGCTGCAGCTGGGGAGAGGAGAGGCCACAGGGGGCGGCGCTCCCAGGAAGCAGGGGAGTGGGCAGCAGCCAGCACCCACAAGCCCACCTGGGTTAGGGAGGAGAGTCACCCAGGGGTCCAGCTGGATGGAAGGAAGACACCCTTCCCCACAGGGGAGCCACCCTCCTCAGGGCCCCGGGACGGACAGCAGCGCGGCCAGGGACAGGACAGGCAGGCTCCCTTCCCACCTGCCAGGGTAGGTGTGAGGATGAAAGGACAGAGTGGAGGGAAAGTGTCCAGGACGCTGGCCCACTGCAGGCACACAAATAGTGACCACTGTTGTCACGAGGTGAAGAAAGGAAATTCAAGCCACCGGGCCACATCCTGGACAGGGAAAGCACCCGGAAGGCTCATGACTCCTTTCTCTCCTCCTCCTGTCCCACACCCCTGCCCTCAGGCTCTATCCCGCACAGCTGCAGCTGTGGGAGGATGCGGGCCGGGGGAGGGCTGCGGGTCAGAGGTGGGCCCTCCCCACTCGCCTGCCCTGCATAGCCCCTCACCCCTCCCTCCCTCTCCCCCTCCCTTCTCACAGCTGCCTGCCCTCTGACCTCCCCACGGGGCTTTCAGGACTGACAAGTGTTCTCTAGGGCTCCTGGCCTGAGCTCGCTCCCTGGATGTAGGTGACACCAGGGTCCCCCGATAGGGACCATACACTCCTGGGCACCTTAGGCTGCTTCAGGCCACTCTCTCAAATGCCACAAGCAGTAAGACACAAACCCAAGAGCTTCTGCGGGCACAGTGACGGCAACAAGTCTGCCTATCCACTCCAGGTGTCAACTTGGTCTCCCCTCCAGTGAGGCTGGATATTTGGGGCCTGTTCTTATCCTTGCTCGCCCGTCCCCTGTCAAAGGCCCAGCCTGCCTGCTGGGTTCCTTCAGGGAAGACGTACAGTGTCCGCTGGGTGTGAGGCGCCCCTGGAGGAGGAGTGAGGCAGGAAGGACAAGCACTGTTGCCCCCATTTTAGAGATAAAGAAACTGAGGCCCAGAGAGGCCTCAGACTGTGGGTGTTCAAAGGGCAAATTAAAGTGGGACGTATTGATTTCCACCAAAGAAGAAAACAAACAAACAAAACCCCTTACTAGGATCAGAGGAGACCGGACCCGACACACAGACTCTTTGGTGAGTTTCTAGAAGCGGCTAGTTGGGTCCATAAAATGAGTCTTCAGAGGGGGACCCAAGCCCAGCGCCTATCTCAAAGAGTACACAGTCCCGTGGGGGGAAGAGACAGGAAAGGACAGCGGGAGGCGGTGGTGTTGAGCCGAACTCTGAAGTGGGGCCGGGGGAGAGAGGCCTTCCCGGCAGATGGAGCAGACGAGAACGGTGGGCAGGCGGGGGACAGGAGCCTGCGTGATCCACCCGGGACGAGTGTTTTCATGAGGACTGGGCAGCACAGAAAGGGGACTATGGTTACTGTTGTGACAACATGAACTCTGGCCACCACGGAGCCATCTGTCCAGCCTCTGCTATGCCAGCCATGCTCACAGCCACCCTGTGAAGTAGCTTCTTTACTGCTCATTTACAGACCAGGAAAGCTCTAGAAGTGCGGTGGAGGCTGGGGGAGCATGGGGGTCAGTTATGGAGGCGCTTAGGGAGAACTCAGTCCCCAAATACCTGGTTCCTCCTCAGCCACAAATTCCCTGAAGGACCTGAGGCAGGTCTCAGGCAAGAGAGGAAGTGCAAAGCCCTGGGCCCTGGGCCCCGTCCTCTCTCCTGCTCTGGACGGTTCTCTCTTCCAGAGAGAGAGGGACCCCGGGCTTTCAAACATCCTGGTCTGTCCTACCCGGAAGGCACCCCCCTCCGCCCCCATTCCTGCCAAAGCCTCTGCTCGTCCTTCAAGGCCCAGCGGCCCCTGTGATGGCTCACAGCACCAGATCCACCCCTCCTGCGACACCTCCCTTCCAGCTTGCACCCTTTCCAGACACACACCCAAGGGCAAGGGCCAGGTCCATCCTCCATCCCGCACCTGCTCCCCGCCTACCGCAGGATGCAAATTGGACTTGCAGGATGCAAATCGGACTGGCTGCTTACTTACAGTGGCTCCCCGCCACCTCCCAGAGAAAGCTCATGCCCCAGAGCAGGGATGCCAGCGTCCATGTGCCCTGGCCCGGCCCACCCTTCCAGCCGACCTCCTGCACTGCCACTCCAGCCATGCTGCACCAGCGACACCCCTGGAGCATGCCACATCGTGCCTCAGTGTACCCCCGCCTACACTGTCTTCCCCAGTTTCTCCACTTGCCTCAGAGCATACACCCAAGAAAGGCCCATTAGGCAAATGAATAAGCCCCTTCTTGTCCTTCAAGACTCGGTTCATGTGCCACCTCCTCCAAGAGTCACACCCTGGGCCTCCCCCGCTTGGCCCCAGGTATACGTGCTCCTTCCTCTGTACCCCAGTGTCCAGTGCGCCCCCCACCGGAGCCCCAGCCTGTGACGATGACAGTGGATCTGCTGGTGTGGGTTGCCCAGCCCCCACCTAGCATGCTCTTCCGCACTCACAGTGGGCATTTAATAAATGTTTGGGGAATTAACCAACTAGAAGCCCCCAGGGCCGGCACCTCTGAGACATCCCCTCCCTTCTCCCCTCGAGGGTGATAACAGATCGCACCCCCTGCCCCCGCCCACTCAGCTGCCCCAGCAGGTCACATGATGGAAGTGTTCAGAGGCTCCTGCTCCTGCACCGGGGGAACGTTCATGGCATCGGGGGTGGCACCGGGCTTTGGTTTGGAAAGTTTGGCTTTAGATACCGCCCAGGTGCTCGAAGCTGAGTTCATTCACACTCCGAGCAGAGAAGCTTTCAAGTGCTCTGCATCCTTCCTGCCGAAGCCCGGCTGGAGGGGCAGGACAGCGGCTGGGAGGTGCGTGACAGGAGCCCCAGCAGCCGGGCCAGGAAGCTGATCTCACGGGAACGGCCACATGAGGGATTCTGGGACACACGCACAACTGCTCTCGGAAGTCAGGCTTCAGGAGCCCTGGCTGCTTACAACAGGATGTCCCATGATTGGAACAACTGGCACAGGACAGTGACGCTCCGGTGCAACTGATGGCTCCCCCACCCACTGCCCTGGCAGGATGGGCTGAGAACACGGGGTCCGATCAGAGCACCGTGCTGACCACACAGACTTCCTTCCTGCAGCTCTTGCCACCTGCACCTCAGCACGTGAGGGTGTCACCACACACTGGCCTCCATCCTCCCACAAGGCCACCGCGCTTTATGGTTGGCAAAGGCTTTTCACATCTGTTAGCTGCCTTGAAGCTCGAAAATGCCCATGAGATACGGACAGTGCGATCATTATCCCTGTTTGGCATATGGGGAAACTGAGGCCCAGAGAGAGGAAATGGGAAGTGTTGCCTGGCAGCTGGACTTGTGCCTTCTTCCTCAAACTCCTGACTAGCACCAGGGAGAGGGCCTGCACACAGTAGGCACTCAACTAGCGTGTGAGGAAAGAGTGCATCTAAGTAGAGGTCAAGTCCAATGTCATTTCCATCTCCCATCGGATCTGATCCCATCTGGACCTCCAAGGCCGCCTCCAAAACAAAACATCCCTCCAGACATTCACTCTACAGCTCACCCCAAACTCCTCCGTCAGCGAGTGAGGAATGAGGAAGGGCCCACTCCCGTCACCTCCTCCCCAACACCACCACCGCATTCATCCAGCCCCTACCGCGCACCAGGCCCCTCGCCAAGTGTTTGAGGTACCCATCACATTTAATCCTCAAAACACGCGTACGAGAAGATAGAACACTACTTCTCCCATATCACACTCAGGAAACTGAGGCACAGGAGGGTCTATAAGTTTCCAGGATCTGAAGCCAAATAGTTGGAATTCAGAGCACCGGCTCGTAATCCTCCAACTGGCTTCAGGAGAAAGCCTGAACGGAAAGTGGCTGAGCGAGGCTTGATTTTCAGTCTCCTGTACTCGAAAAGCTAAGGCCCTCATCTAAAAGGTACTGCCGTTCGCACGAGCCAGAGGCACACGCCCTTTTGAGAAAGGAAAAGGTGTCTCTTTCATTCCCTCCGCCTAGCTGGACTGCAGCTGGGGGCAGACCGCTCCGGAAGTGTTGCTGAGCTCCCAAGGACACTGGGAGACGCCAGGAACTTGACGAGATCTGTGGGCCGGTGGCTTGGTACAGGGTGGCTCATGTTATGATTCATTCTACAAATATTTATCAAGGACCTATTCTGCGGCTGGCATTGTTCCAACTGCTGAGAACAGATTAGTGAACAAAACAGACAAAACCTCTGCCCTCCGAGAACTCATATTTTAATACGAGAGGGGACAACAGAGAAGATAAACAGGCAAAACATATCCATAGGTTCTAGATGCTGATTAGGTGCTGAGGAGAAAGATAAACCAGAGAAGGGAGACAGGAAGTGTCCAGGTGGAAAGGGAAATTTCAGATAGGGTGAACATGGAAGTCCTCACCAAGAACTTGATCTTGAATACAGACTTAAAGGAAATGAGGGCAAAAGTTGTACGGATATCTAGGTGAAGAGTTTCCCAGGTAGAGGGAAGAGCAAGCGCAAAGGCCCTGGGGCTGGAGCATGCCTGGTGAATGCCAGGAACAGCAAGGAAGCCAATGAGGTCAGAGAGGTAACAGGGGGTCAGGCATGGATAGTGAGAGGGGAAGCCATGGCAGGGCTTGAAGCAAAGAGGCGACATTAACAGACCACTCTGCTGGATGCAGGGTGTAGAGAGGCATCAAGGAGAATCTCACAGCTTTGGCCTGAGCAACGGAAAGAAGAATACTGCCATTTCCTAAAGATGGGAAAGTGAGAGGGACGGAGAGATTTGGGAGGAGGGTGGGGGAAGGGATGAAGGAGCTACATAGCGAGAGCTTAATTCTAAATACTTTAAGTTTGAAATGCCTGAGATTGAGGTGCTGAGCAAGCAACTATATACGTGAGTCTGTCATTCAGAGGAAGGTCCAGACTGGACTGGACAGATAAATTCGGGAGTTGTCAGAATAGAGACGGTACTTAAAGCTATGAGCTGGATGAGATCACCAAAAAAAACGAGAATGGATAAAAAAAGAGGAGAGGCATTTAAGGCACAGACCTATTAAAATGTTCTCCCTGGAACCACCCAGTACGAAGTGAAGCCCATAACACAGGGTCTCCCCTTAGGTACAGCCCCTCACCCCCCTACACACACACCTGGTACGTATGTGCAGACACACACACACACACAGCATTTAAATTCCTCCTTCCTCTGTCTCTTAGTGATGTCACTGTGCTGAGTGAGAAGGAAATGCCCTTTGGGGGATACTGTCATCTAACGAGACAGTAACCGTGAAAAGGAGAAAAAGCGCCCTGGGCCCCGAGACAACAGTAATGACCCTTTCTCAGCAGGCAATGACACAGGCTGTGGTGTCACAAAGTACTGTGTTCAGATTCCAGCTCCAACTCACCAATCCTCGTAACCTCAGGCAACTCATTCCGCCCTCTCTTCCTTATGTTAAATGAGAATAACATTGGCTACATCAAGGGTAGTCCACAAGGCAGTAAACAGTCCGTTAGTGTTTGTTAAACAAATGAGGAAGGAAGGAACAGTAAGGATAACATATGAAAGAGCCTGACTCACAGATGATCAATAAATACAAACAAATGCTCAAGGAAAGGCAATGGACCTTCTCCTTGTCTTTCCCTCCTTGATTTTTCATTCCATCCCTTTCGCTTTCCCACCTACGACACAGCAGCAAGACCACACCTTTGTACAGGACCACACTGGTTACAAAGGTTTGCCTTCTACATTTTCTCCCATTTTGAACCCCATGGCAGCCTTAGGAGGGGCAGGAAATACAATCACCCTGTCACAGATGAGGAAACTGAGACTTGGACCCAGCTCCAGGAACATTTTAAGGCAGAGACAATAACAAAAACACTGCACTCAGCCCAAGGGTGGGGCATCTGTGTTGCCAAACCAAACCTGCCCAACATCCTGCCGGGCGGGGAAGAGGGCAGGTGAGGGAAAGACCCACGTGCTAAGGGAAGGTATTTGTTTGGGGTCATGTGAATAGTCCATTAAAAAAACGGGCACAGATCCCTGAGCCCTGTGCCCTCCCTGTCCCACACTCACGGGCCTGCCCGTCCCAGTCACATGGCCACACGGGTCACACGCTCCCTGTCACCAGCTTCCAGGTCACCTGTGGGCGCAGGAGGTGGACACAGGATTGGGGGTTGGCAGACTCTGGGGTAATGAGGCTGTGGGGAAGGAGGGAGCAGGCGCAGACGAAATCTGCACGCGCAGGAGAGACAATAAGCAGGGAGAAGCAGGGAGTCAGAAAAGGAGTTAGAAACAGTAAAATGGAGAACAGCGGAGACAAATGGAGAAACGCAGAAGGGAGACAGGCGACGTGGGGGGTCGAGTGGGAATACAGAGGCAGAAAAGTCGGCAGCACTAAGAAAGGCACAGGAAGGAAGGTGGGGACAATCAATGCGGCCCAGAGTGAAAGCTGGGGGTACCAAGAGGCACTGAGAGATGGGGGAAACGACGAGGGGGGCCACCCAGGAAGTGAGGGATAGAGGGGAGACACACAGGGGAGGCTGGGGTACTGAGGAGGCCCCAGGGTCGAAGCTGAGGTCCCTGGGGCTACAAGTTCGACAGCAGACAACAGCGGTCACGGGATGGGAGTTGGGGACGCTGGGGGACCAAAGGGAGAAAACTAGGGGTACTCAGGGGTTACACACGGGGCCACGGAAGACATGCCTCAGGAACGGGAACACGGGATAGATCCGAACGAGGGGCCGGGTGGAGACCACAGCGCCTGGGGCGGGGAAGAGGTTTGGGAAGGGCCCCCCAGGCCCCGCCTCCCCTACGGCGTCACTCACCTCAGCCTACTCAGCACTTCTACTTCCTTCTACTTCCGCCAACAAACGGGCCCCGGGCCACGTGATGGCTCCCCCTCTCTCCGCCAATCACCGAAGCCCGAAGCCCAGGCCGCGGCGGCAGCCCCGCCCCCGCGCCGCGAGCCCTGCGCACGAGGAAGGCGGGGCGGGGCGCCGCCGTCTTTCACAACTGCCCAATGGAAGGGGCTCCCACGGCCGAGGGGGCCTGGGCTTCGGGCTGGAGCCAATCCTCTGCAGCGGAGCGCGGCCATGTCGGTGCGGGGCGGAAAAGGGCCCGGTGACGGCTCGTTGGCAGACATGTTGATGCGGGGCAGGAGACACCCTTCTTCGCCCTCCGCCTCCTGAAATGGTCGAAGCCTGATGTCTGAACCTATTGTTAATGACGGCTCGTAAAGAGAAAATAAAACCAACGAAGACATAGGGTGTGACAAGAGGAACCTGCTTTGATTTTGCAGCGTACCCCCAAGCTAGGGTTGCCGGATGTAGCAAATAAAATTACGAGTCGCCCAGGTTAACTTGAATTTCAGCTAAGCAGCCAATAAATTTTTAATATACGTAAAAACCACTAAGTATTGTTAGGCTAAAAAGTTATTCACTGTTATCTGGCAGCCCTACCCCAAGGCGATCTCAGGAAGTATGTTAGCACTTTTAGTAGAAACTTGGGCAGATGACTTGGTCTCTGTGAGCTCCTCGTCTGACGCAGGCACAGTGACACCCTCCAGGGTTGTTGTGCCGACTGGAGATACATTGGTCCCCGTGCCTGCACGTAGTGGGGTTTCAATAAATGGCAGTTGTTATGATTAGTAATGCTGGGGATGAAGTACGCTGGAAAGAAGTGAGGAGACTGGGTTTTATTCGCAGATCTGCTTCTGACTGAGCAGATCAGGTCCCTCTCCAGCCCACTGGGCTTGGTTGGTCAACTTTTCTTCCGCTTTTCTTCCCCAATCCTAGATCTAGATAAATTCTCCAAACTACTCTCTGTCCAGGTGGGAAGTGTAATTGCTGTTGTTAATTACTGTGAAAAGGAGCGATTTCTCCTCAGTCTGACCAAAGATATGAGTTCCCAGACTGGGGGCAGCCAATGCAACTGGAGCAAGGTTTAGTTAAGAACCTAGATAGGTTAATAAAACTCACCACAGTAACTAATTTTTGTACAGAGCTTTACCAGTTACAAAGTAACTTGACTTCACATCTGTTACCTCGAGATTGTGGTTACTCGTTTGCATTTTACAGGTGAGGAAACTGCCCTTAACCTAAGATTAAAATTTTGCTCAAGAGAATGAGATGAAGACTCAGAATTCTCACTGAAAGTATCTTGCCCTCCACACCCCAAACATGTGCAGTTAGGGCGATGGTTATCAGGGAGCTTGCAAAAGGCCAGGCGTTCCACCCACTACTGAGCAATCTGACCTGAGATACGTGTAAGTTCAACAGGAAGAGCTAGGCTTCAGCAAACACCCAACCTTATATTCCAGGTGGCTCTGCAGGGCGAGTTTGGCAACACAGACACACAGCTGAATCCGAAATACAGAAATGGCCAAGGAAGAGAGAGAGACCAATCATCTGGATCAGAGTGTCAGAAAGACTCAGAGACCCACGGAAGAATAAAATAGAATAGAAAGAAATAATAGAATCTCAGGGCCTGATGAACTTGGGTGCCCCTCCTCTAGGTATTTTTGGTGAAAACTGTTAAATGAGTGGATAAAGCAAGAGGTGAAGAATAGGGAGATATTAGGTAGCATTGATTGCGCAAGCAACGTAAACGGAGGGGGCAAGTAGGCATGAGGGAGTACTTTCTGTTGAGTGTCCACTGGATTTTGCATTGGAGTAGTTCAAGTCAAAGAACTCCTCTTGAGGGCCTTGCCCCGTGGCCGAGTGGTTAAGTTCGTGTGCCCCGCCGCAGGAGGCCCAGTGTTTCGTTGTGTTCGAATCCTGGGCGCAGACATGGCACTGCTCATCAGGCCACGCTGAGGCAGCGTCCCACATACCACAACTAGAAGGACCCACAACAAAGAATATACAACTATGTACCGGGGGGCTTTGGGGAGAAAAAAGGAAAAAATAAAACCTTTAAAAACAAAAAAAAAACTAAAAGAAAAAAAAAAAGAAAAAGAACTCCTCTTGAGGGCTGTGCTAGGCCCTGAAGCTGCAAACATCACGGACCCAAGTGTCCGCCTTCAAGGAACCCAGAGTCTAGAGGGTCAGAGTAGACCAAGTCCCCTCCCTCAAGGAGTTAGAGGGAAGGTTAACGAACATGCTGACAGTGTCATCTTCCACCGTGACCTTGTCTGATCCTTACAACAGCCCTGAGAAGCAGTACTATGATCCCCACTTTGTGGGTGGAGACACCAAGCTTCTCTGAGGGGAGATGATCCCGAGTCAGATGTCGGTGAGAGGCAGAACCTCATCGGGACCTGTCTTGTCTTTTCTTTCCCTGCACTATAGAAGCACCCACTATGTGCCAGGCAACGTTCTTGGTGCTGAGGAAACCACAGCGAACAAAATAGACAGAATCCCTGCCGTGGTGGCGTTCACGGTCTTGTGGGGAAAGACAGGCAATGAACAAGATAGAGAAATCGAACACAGAGCGTGTTTTGCTGAAGTCTTTGGGTGACGCATCATGATGTTAGCATCTTAGTTTCAAAAAACGTTTGAGTGTTTTACCTGGAGTTGTGTATAGAGGTGCCATTGCGCTGGTCCTTCCATTTTCTGCGTGTTTGAACATTTTTGTAATTAGAAAGTTGGGAAAAACTATAGTGTGGTAAAGGGTGAGAAAGGCTCTGGTGTAAAAGCAGGGAGGAGAGACAGGAGGGTTGCGGTTTTAAACAGGGTGGCCAGGGGAGGCCTCACTGAAAGGGAGACATTTAAGTAAAAACCTGAGGGCGATGAAGGAGCAGCCACGGGATAACCTGGGAAAGAGTGTTCCAGATGGAGGGGGCGGCAAGAGGAAAGGCCCTGAGGCAGGAGTCTCCCTGGCTTGTTTCAGGAAAAGCGAGGAGGCTATTGTGCCTGGAGTGGAGTGAGGGAACGGGAGCCCCCTGGGCGATGAGCTCAAAGGGAGGTCAGGGCCTGGAGGACATTGTAGACCATTTTCAACCTTTGGCTTTCACTCCAAGGGAAATGGGGAGCCAGGAGAAGATTTTGAGCAGAGGAGTGACCTGATCAGACTTACATTTTAACAGATCGTGTCTGTTCTATAAAAATAGTCTATGAGGGCAAGGCAGAGCTGGAAGACCAGTGAGGAGACTCCTACAGAAACCCAGGTGAAAGACGATGGTATGACCACCACCCCATTTAATCATCTCAACTATAGAATCATTACAGTCAGGTATAGAGGGATTGAGAGAAGGCATTGTCAAACTCTGTCCAGGGGGCGCTTTGTGAGATAACTCTTGAGCAGGGGTGGGCGGCCTATCCCGCCTGCCACCTGTTCTGTAAACAAAGATTTGTTGGAACACAACCACACCATTCGTTTACATAGGCCTATACTTTCGACAATGGCAGAGTCAAGCAATTGTGACAGAAAGCTTCTGGCCCCCAAAGCCTGAAATATTTCCATCTGGACCTTTACAGAAAAAATTTACCAACCCTTGTTCTTGAGTTGGGTTTCAAAGGTTGAATAGGAGTTTGCCAGCTGGATTAGGAAAGTAAGAACATTCCAGGTGGAAAGGTCAACATCGTGAGTTTGTATGGATTGTGTGAAGAACTGCAGGGGCTTGACCACTGCTAGAACCTGGTGCGTGAGCAGGTGAGGGGCAGGTGAGCCACAGAGGCTGAGCGTGAAGGGTCTCAAGTGGCATGCTAAGGGTGCAGAGCTTGTCCTGCGGGCAGTGGCTTGTAACCGGAAGGGTTACAGCAGGGAAGTGATGTGGAAAAAAAAATCTCTCTCCTGCTATGGGAGGGGTGCCTGGAGGGCACAGAGGCCACAAGGAAGCTGTGTAATGATTACACTAATGGTGTGGCTTATGACTTGAGGAGGGGGCCGTTGGGGTTTGTGCACTCCTCAGGAAGGAAATGAGAGCAGGTGACCTTTAGCTGTGAGGCAGCAGCCACATGTTCCCATCCTAAGGGGGAAAGCCAGTTCTGGCCAGCAAAGGCAGGGTTTCCCCACTCTGGGGGCCCCTCAGCCCAGCTCAGGGGCTCGCGCGACAGACCGTGGCCTAAGGAGAGGCTGGTTCTCAGGGCCAGGGCCAAGAAGCTGGCCCGAACCTGGGTCCCAAAGGGTCGTGAGGGTTTGGGGAAGCCAAGCGGAGGGCATTTCAGGCACTGGTGCAGAACATGTGCTGGCGATCATGCGGAGTCTGGCGTCTCGGGGTGGGGGACCAGTGTGGGATTCTTGGGGGTCAGAATGCACACGGCCTTCATCCCTTTCCTCTTTCTCCCTGGGCTTCTCATCTTCACTTCAGTTTCTTCAGCCAATAATTATGAAGTACCTACTACGTGCACAGCTTCACTCTCAGTGTGGGGACATGAAAGATAGCTCAATTCCTGTCCTTAAAGTTTGCAATTTAATACGAACTTGCCTCAACTACACGGATGATCATTTATTGTAAAAAAAAGAAGTGCTGGAATATAAACAAATATGGTTTTCCTGAAGAAATCATGAAATTACAGTGGATCCTGTCCCTGACTCTGTGAGTAAGGAGCAGCGAGGGAATGCCGTAATAATAAAGAACCCCACAACCTCGTTGGCTTAACACAACTTAACGTGTTCATTCACACTGTGTGTCCAGTGTGGGAGGGATGGGGTTTCGCTTATCATGGTCACTCAGGAGCCCAGGCTGAGGGGCTCCTCCTCAGGGTGGGCTCCCATGACCACTG